TTTTCGTGCATTCTGCAGGTGAATTGATAATGGTAGAAGAAAAGACGCATAGCGATTTTTCCTCGTTTTCCCCAGTAGTCCCTAAAACGATGTATAAATCCAATTCGATGAAATTAATCATTTTTAAGGTTTGCTGAACTAAAACCCACGACTTAAATGATCTTTTCTTTAAAAACATATAGGTAATTTGTTCACATTGATTTAATCCAACCTGAGCTCTCCATTATTTTCATATGGTGAACAGCATGGGCTTTAGAGACAGAGCTATCCAAATTCAAATCCTCTTTATTGTATGCAGTGGGGCAAACTATGCATTCTCCCTAAGCCTCAATTTTCCCAGTATTGTGATAACTAAAAAATGTATATGTAGTGCTCAATAAATGTTACAAGAGTTAATGCCATCAGTGACACTTCTATGCTTATTCGCATCTTAAACCCTACTCTGTAGGCATTCTTTAGTACTTTTAAAATGTATATGTTTATCACCCTGAATAGTCTATATGTAATCTGAGTGCTAAGACCTTGTCTTTTATTTTTGTAAACATACCCCCATTCCCTACTTCTCTACCCCACTACCCTGTTACAGTCACCTCTATTAATGGATTCAACCCATTGTCCACACACCTTCTAATATGTGAGAGTGGAATGGCTTCAGTCTGTATGCTAATCAAAAATTGTGGATGCTTAAATAAACTTGAATGCTTGCAGTTTTTTGAATCTATTGATGAGCTACTTACTTACTGTTAGTTTCATAGAACGCCTGATAGCACCACGAGTATATTAGGGTTAGAGTCTCTTGCCAGTAACAGAAAATTCCTAAATAATAGCTGACCAAAGAAAGAAAGAAAGAGGCAGACCACTCCAGATTGGTAGGGGGCAGGTTTGATAAGCAAGGGAACTTATATACAAGGCTTGTCTTGAGTAGTCTCAAAATGAGTAGATCTCTGCACCCACTTGTCAGAACCTTAAAAGTTTATATAGAGGTTTTAACTGTCACATATACCATCCAGTCTCAACACCATTACTCTCTCAAGGCTCCGTCCTTGGAAAAGTTCCCACTGTGGGAACAGTAGGCAGAACGTACATTTCAGGGACAGGGGAGGCAGCGAGGAGGCTCCAATCGTCCAGGTCCAGCTTGTGGGTCATCCAGCAGTCTTACCCTCTTGATTACCTCCTCCAACAGTGTTTTAATGGGATAAGACTTGGGGGCCTTGTAGGCCTTGCAATAGGTAATAATGCCCTATATCACATCTTGATCCATGATGTCTGCTTAAAGTCTAGCTATTATCTCTACATTCCAGCCTGCAGGAAGAAGGAAGGGGAGGAAAAAAGGCGTGCTCCCTTAAGTGGACCTTACTGGAAGTTGTGAGCACCTCTTTCATTTACATCTCACTATGAGATGGCCATTGCACACCTAGCTGCAAGAAAGGCTATGAAACATAGTATTTATTCTGAGCAGCCATGTGTTCAACTAAAAACTAGGAGTTCCAATATTATGTGAGAAAGTGAAAGCAGATATGGGAGCACAATTAGCCATCACTGTCACAATGGGTGACTATAAGGGTATGCAAAGTTCAGTATCATCCATCAACATTTTTCCTTTTTCTTAACAAACTCTTCCCATTGGCCATCACATGATATTTAAAAGCACATCAGTCTGACCTCTCCAAAGAATCGTGCCAATTGTGTATGAGTCACAGGAAAACCCAACTAATATACTAGGTAAAACACAATGAATTGTGTAATTTCTCCTTACAAAGTTCTTTTCAGGGACACCAGTAAGGAATGATTTACAATGGAGATTTTGCCTAAAGACTTAAATTCCCTAAATGTTGCTTTCTAGATACTTACATTCTGTGTGCATTATTTGGTGTGTTGTCAGAAAATAAACAGCTAATAAAAAATATTTCCTCTATGCAAGAGGTTGGAGAGCCATCACTATGACATTAGCAGCTACAAGGAACACAAGCACGTTCCTGATCTATAATTTTCATTTCACATACAATCCATTCTTGGGTAATCACAGTAAGTGGATTTTTAAAATTTTATTTAACAATATGGTTAACCTTGATTGAAAGCATTTAAAACTGCCTCCTTGTGTGCTTCAGTCAAGCTAAAACAAATTAAGAGTATATATACTTCCAGAAATATATTACAAAACCAAACAGAAATTATGTTTCAACAAGTATTAAATGGATTACTTACAAAGCATATATTATTGTTTCCTTACATCATTGTGAAAAATGAGGGCTTTGTAATTCCAAGACAATCTGCTTTTAATTGGAAGCCAGTGGTCATTAGATGGCTATTATCATGGAATTCAGACTACAGAGGTCAAGAGTTAAAGGATGATAAATATGATCTGACATACTGCTTTTCATGTCATTTTCACATAAGTTCTCCATTTTCATCCAGACAGTCATCAGTTACCATGACGTAAATAAAACAGTGAATCTTAAAAAATTTCACCATAAAAGGACCCAGTCTAGGTGCACATAATCTTTTTATGATGTCATGCACTGTATTGTGTTCCCCCAAAAATGTACATTATGTAAGGAATGTAAGGCTCAAAGGCAGAGATTGTAAGTGTTGTGTAAAGTACTTGAATCCCACACTGTCAGTGCTTAATACACTTTAAATAGCAAAAAGTGAAGTTACAAATTCTTAAGTCTTATTCTGCCATCCTATAGGATGACAATGTTAATAATTAAGATTTTGATCCCATCTCCTGCGAATAAATGCTGTTAAGAGTATTTTCTTGCTTCAGCTAGGTACAGATAAAACATTTTCTTAGATGCCTGCCAAGTATCCTGTTAGCTGTTTTTCCCCTGTGATTCTGATCTATTACTTCTTTTAGTTTTTCATGGGAATTTGTGGTTGTGAGTGAATCCAGTGAGCCTGTGATCGTTTAACTTGGAACATGGGTTGAAAGTAGATTTCATGTGGGTAGGTATTTGGTTTTCTTAATCTATCAGCCAAGGTATGTTCTTAACCTTTTAGTAACTGAGCTGACTTGCTGTAAACTTTTTTCTAAGTCAGAAAGAGTAGATATGTGACTCCTTAAACCATCAGTTCTCAAACTTGTATGTGCGACAGAATCACCAGGAGGGCTTATTAAAGCACAGAACACTGGGCCCCACTCACAGATTTTCTGGTCCTAGAGCTGACTCTTTGAGGCCCACTGCCTTAAATAAAAGTGGGGCATTTTAAGTGGTCCTGTAAATAATTTGCCATTTAGCCTTTATTTTACCAATTTATGCTTCCTGTAAACAAAACCTAGATTAAACTGACAGTCTGTTCTGTTGAGGTTACACAAGGTCCTTAAAAAAAAAACCTCAATTAAAAAAAAATACCCATTTTGGAAATGTTATTAATGTCTAAAGATAAGCCCTAGGTTCCAAAACTAACTTCAGCTCCCCATAGCGGTCATCATTTTGTTACATTTGGAAACGCTTGTTCTAAAATAACCATTTGTGAGGCAATAACACTCTTTTTACCCAAAGGAAACAGAAATAACAACACAGGAAGCATTGGGCAGCCTTAGGCCAATTCTTTTTGGAAAGCACATTTAATTCACTGTTGCACAACTCAAACAGAGGAGGTGGTTAAGGAAGTCAGGAAGGCATGTTAAGTAATTTTGACCAGGAATACTTAACCAAGAGAAGTATCTTGAAACCATGGATGGTCTAGGAATATGTGAGAGGTAAAGAACTGACTTCTATGTGACAACTTGTCAGGAATGTTCAAAGTTTCCCATTATTGTCCACAGACCCTGAGATTCATCATAAAATGTCTCCAAAAGAGCTGGGCACAAATAACCTCTTCAGGCTGTGTTGTCTGATGCTAAAATACTATTTACATGTTCACCCTGCAAGACGCCAAAACTGACTGGTATCTGCTATCTGGTGAACACAACTACAGGCTCTCCCCATATACAAACAGTACTGGTCTTCAAAGCCTATGAGCCTCATTGTAGAAGCTCAGACAAGATTCCCACTGATTTTTTCATCCTTTAGATACATGTCCTGCCTCCTTTGATACAGTTTCTTCATATAAACCATCTTATCTAAAGAAAATATCCAACTACTACTCTGATGGGGTCTTTTCTCAGCAGCCAAAGGTTACAGCTAGGTTCTAAACTCCTTGGATTCATGATCGTCCCTCCCCGCTTTATCTCTCTACTACATTACCATCCCCTACAGGCAGGAGTAATCCATGAGCGAGACAGGGCTATGTCAGCTGCCTCATTACTAATTCCAAGGTTTATTTTCAATGTTAACACATGGATACAGAATACATACTTCAGCTAGTTCTTATGGGTCCCTCTTCCCTAACATGTGGATGTAACTGTGTGCAAAGTGAACAAAGAAATAACTAAGTGGAGCTTAGGTGCTACATCCAGAGATGTAACTGCTAACAAAAGCTGGAGAGGGGGTTTTGAAAGAGGATGATAGAAAGAAACCTTTTCATTGAGAAAGGTGACACGGGATGACATCTACTTTTGCCAAAGCCAGGTCTCCAAGATCTCTCAACTGCAAAAACAAACAGTACCAACATCCCACAGAATCTTGATTGCAAGTTTGATGCCACATACAGTAAATCCCAGCATCACAGAGTGCTGATACTGAAAGAGACCTTTCTAGACTGGCTGGTACAAACGCATCATTTTTCAAACTAGAAAATTTAGCCCCAGGGAGAAGAAAGTGACTTGTCTTAATTAAGGTTCAAGTTTCCTTAGCTGAAACACTGAGGCCAGGGCTTAGATTTTCTGATTATGAGAAGCCCTTCCCCTTTTGGGGGGTGGGGAAGGGGAATGAGAATTTTTTTTTTAAATAGCTTTCTGTTTTATTTATTATTTAATTATTATTATTTTTTTTATTTTGGTGGGGGGAGGTAACTAGGTTTATTTATTTTTAGAGGAGGTACTGGGGCTTGAACCCAGGACCTCATGCATGCTAAGCCAGCACTCTACCACTTGAGCTATACCCTCCCCCCGAGGATGGTTGTTAATGTTGAATGAATGTAAACACCAATGGAGCAACTGCTTTTGCTAGAAAAAAAGAGCAGCCCATTTTCCTCCTCCTCAGGAAAGGTCCAGCATGTCCATGTGTCCATACCCATAGGCTTCCAGATGAGAAACCCTTCCAGATCCAGCAACTGGGCAGTGACTTGCTATAAATGATGCCAAGTGGGAGTCTGCATCCAGCCCAAGTCTCTGTGTTTTTTTTTTAATCTCCTTCTTCCTCATCATCAAATAAAATTACAAATATAAATGCAAATGTGTCTACATACATGCTCCTTTAGATTAAGCAAGTCTCATCATAGTTTCAGGTGCCCCAATGAGAAAAGTAAAACAAAATTGCACTTGTGGCCTCTCAGATTAAAGACTGAGTTAAAATGAGGTTGCCCAGCCCACAGGAAAATAGGCCACACATGCTGATACAACTGGCCCATCATTCCAGCCTGGCACTTAGGCCCAGCAGACTCAGAGACCCCTGGGAATGATCCCTTCACAAGACACCCACGAGGTAGATAAGTGCAATCAGCCCCACGGGTGGATGGAGCACATAGGAGCACGGGGGTAGACATGTGGAGGTGCCTTGGACAAGGAGCAGAGGGCCCAAAGGGTGGGGCAGACCTCTGGCTCTAACCATAGCACTCCCCCTGGGACAAAAGCATTCGGTCATGAGAGAAATCCCCACCACGTAGCAGATGTCTACAGCAGTGAGAGCGTGGACTAGGAGGTAAAGAGGTGGTGCTGGTCTAAGGGCGACACGTTTCTTCTAGAGCTGCCAATGAGGCGAATCTGAAGGGTTATGATCACAAACTAGGGAACATGGGCACCCTCCCCCAGGCCATGCGTGGTGACCCCTGCGTGGCCCTGCCATCCTTGCTCCCAGTAGACTTAAGAATTACATAGCAAGGACTTCTCTTATTAGAGAACCATGCTGGACTGAGCTGATAGCAAAGACAGGCTGCTCTGATGGTTCAGCTCTTGCCTGATTCGTCCTCCAGCCTGAGGGAAGGGAGAGGAGACAGAGGTATAGATGATAAAGGCTGCAAAGCCCAGCAGTTTCCACCAGAGCTGCTGAGAGTCAGGCCCCAGAACCACACACACAGGGTAAATCAAGGTCCCTTTCTCTGGGAAGAGAGACCTCGGCCCTGCCCCTCTCTTCAAGAGAATGGCCCGAGAAGGAAAGCTGGCTTCCCACTGAGGTAATGAAGAATATCTGCTCAGCTGCGTAGGTCACCCTCAGGTTAAGCAGGAAGACTCCCTGAAGAGGGCGTCCTGAGGACAAAGGCTGAGGAGCTCCGCTTATCCGGGACACTTCACAAATTTTAAATTACACACTCCCTCACACACAGCACACTCACATGCACAAACGCACAGAGACCCACATTCTTCCAACCCACCCCACTCCAAGCCCCCAATCCTGCCCCACAGATATTATCCCTGTAAACAGGACAGCTGAGACACCCACTGTCCTGGGACAGTCTGACAGTGCTCTGAGGATGACTGTCATTAAGTGCCCCGGTAGGTGATGTTGGTGAAGGTGGATGTGGCCTCTTTATACAGTGGGTTGTTGGCCTGCGGAGAGAACAGAGAAGTGTCTTACAGCGAATTCCTCAATTCTTCCCTTCCCTCAGGGTTTACATGTCATTGGAGAAGTTAACCCAAGATATCCTGCTCTGGGGTATACCATCAATGAATGGCTTAATGCTCCTTATACTCACACAGTTGCCCTTAAGGTAGGAATGGGTAGGAAATAAGAGGAGAGATCAGGTAGAAAAGCATCATTCCACTATTCCTAAGGGGTTAACTTCAGCCCATCACTTTTGGTGATCCCAAAACATTTCAAGGTAACTTTTAGCCAATATCTTCTATCCTCCCTTTCTTTTGAGCTTTCTCTTTCACCCTTCTCCCATTTTTACTTCATTCTAATGGTGCTGGAGGGCGTGAGCAAGGAAGAGAAATGTAGCAGGTCGTGGTTGGAACACAGACGACAGCCTTTGCTCAAATAATTCTTAACTTGTTTTCATCCATCCCTCAAGCACTACCCACAAACTGTCATGTTAGCAGGAAAAAGAGTCTCACTAGGTTTCCCAAATTATTTTCTAACAAACAGTGACAAATTCCATTCAGTCTAGCAGTCCTCAGTGGTAGCCTTAAGAAGCACAACACATTCTCATGGATTTCAGAGGGCCAGGATTTCTACACTGTTTGAATAATAGAAACATCTCAGTTTCTTGGGATGCTTGAGTACACAGGCCTGAGATCACCATCAAATGGGAACAAACTTTCAGCCTAACCCTGGACATTCAAGGAGTCAAAGAGCCATTTGGAAGATGCAGAAAGAAGTTAAAATGTGGAAGACGAACCAAAGGAGAATAGAGTAAACTTATGTATACAGAAAGTTCTCAATAAATGCTTTTTTCATTGGATTCAATCAGGATAAACTACAGGGATCATGTTTTTAAGAGGCTGACCCAAAAAGTAATTCTTATCATGACCTAATTCCCTCTCACAATCAGGGAAGCTGCTTAATTTCTTTGTACTCAGTTTCTTTATCTATTAAGTGGGAATAATAATGTTATCCACCGCATAGGGCTGTTAATGGGATGAAATAAGTTAATATGTAAAAGGCATTTAGAACAGTTCCTGGTACATGGTAAATCCTCAGTAAATATTAGCTATTATTATTTTTTCTGTTTGTGTTTAATGCTTTGGACTTCCTCAGTATATAACGTATTACTTTATGTCCTCAACATAGGAGTCTTAAGTTTGCCCTGTCTCTTGGAGAATAAGTTTCCTTTTCATCTCTCCCAGTGTCCAGAGCAGAGCTGGGCCCTCTCTGAGCTCAGTCACTACTCACTGATGTGGCCTGTGGTCACTGTGTGATACAGAGAGAATCCAGAAAGCATAAGGACAACAGGACAGTTAGGCTGTCATCCAATCTCCAGAACAGAGGCTACCTGGAAAACCATGGTGCTGGCTGAACCCTAAGCATCTACTACTTCCACTTCAGACTCAAACCAACGACTGAAGGAAACACCCAGCCCAGCCCAGAGTCTTACTGTGTCCCATTTGGCTCTGGCTCTCTCTTCTTCAAATTTAGCAAACTCCTTTCGGTCATGGATGGTGATGAGGAGCTTCCAGATGAACAGAGTAGCGAGGCCAATAAACAGAATGGCCCCCATTACTGAAAGCAGGACCACCAGGATGTCAGGGCCCTTGGGACACTCTGTCAGGAGAGAGCACAGAGCAGGGTGGTTGGGAATGGAGCAGGAATCACTTGAAATGGCTACAACAAATAAGAGCTTCTGGACGAAGTCATAAAGCACTAGAAAGTTCTCTGAAGGAAACAGGACTTACAAAATAAACCAATTAATTTTTAAAAGGAGTAGGGGAGCAATCTTCAGGGCAGCAATAATGTGTCCTGAGTGTTTTAAATCAGAGGTCATTAGCTGGTCACCCACGGGCAAAATCCAGCCTACTCAGTGTGAGTTCACATAGCTGTTTATTAAAAATTTGACTTCATTGTCAACACAGAATAATCAGGAGATTATCCCCCTAAAATTTCAGATTATTTTTCTTCTCTTAAAAAAAATCAAAAGATCTAGAAACACTGAACCTGTATTTTTATAGGGTTGCAAATGGCTAGGGCTGAGGAGTAGCTGCCCCTCTTAGATGGGACATGTTCTTCAGTGTGCCAGAGCAGCCAGTGTGACTTGCCATTCATTCTGTGTGACTGTGGGCTCTGGAGCCAGATTCTGGATGTGAATCCTGACTTACCACTTACTTTGCCATGTGACTTTTGGGAAATTATTTAACCTTTCCAGGTATCTGTTTCCTGTTTCTTCATCTCTAAAAGTAATAGCACTAGGGGGAAGGGTGTAGCTCAGTAGTAGAGTGCATGCTTAGCATGCACAAGGTCCTGTGTTCAATCCCCAGTGCCTCCATTAAAATAAATAAATAAATAAATAAATAAAAGTTATAGCACTGACTTCAAAAATTTGTTATGAAGAATAATTAAGAAATAATTAAGCTCAATATATTTAAAGATCTCAGATCACTCAATAAATATCAGCTACTGCTCCTGTAGGCCTTTGAGTGAGTTACCCTAGTTGAAATATTTACACCCCTGAGGGCTGGGAACCTAATGACCTTTTTGGCATACTTCGAGACTAGGAGGCCTGCCAACCAAGACAATATTTTGGGGTTTCTTCCAAAAATATTTAGTCATCTAAAACCCTAAGCCTACTGAGCGCTGACTTCCTGCTCAACCCCAGTCAACAACCAACGTAAACAGAGGTACATCACCCCTCTGAAGGCCAAGCTGAGTGTACTCTGAAGAGCTCTGCTTCCCATAAACCACAGAGCTCTGATGAGTAGCCTCGCTCCAGTAACTTCTCAGGTGTTATGTAATTAGGTGTCGGTATGCATGAGTACTGATGGATCTGGAGAGGAGTCACACCTGCTTTCCACACTGTCTCCCACCTTCTTCTCTAAACATACACACTTGCTCATCACATCCTACCCAAAAAAACCCATCACCACAACCCAAGCAGGCTATTTCCCACCCCACCAAATTACAACCTGTCTATAATTAAAGGAATGTCTGGAGAGAGGCTATGAGGTTCCAGCGTCCAAGTTCCCAGGACTGAAGGACCCCAGTTCTTCTGGGAAAAGCAGTTATGATTTCTCTGGAAGACTGAGGTAAGACTGACCCTTAAACCTCAGAATGGAATCTCTTCAATTCTGCATGTCAGTACGGCAGGACAGGTAGACTACCAGGAGATCTTCAAGGGGAAAATTAAATCTGTTAATAGTCTGTCCTGAAAGGGGTGGATAGCAGGCTTCCTGGAAGAAGACACAGGCTCAGGTGGTCTCTAGAAAGCCCTCCCAGCCCCAGTGATGGGGACCCAGAGCGGGTGATGACCCAAAGTCAGGAAACACTGGGTCAGATTAGCAGATTTGACAAATGAAAGTACAGGAAGTCCGGTTAAACTTGAATTTCATATAAACCATAAGTAACTTTTTAGCATAAGTATGTACCACATATTGCATTTTATCAGGCACTCCTATCTGGAAGTGATGGGGGCCCAGCTCAGGTGAGCTCATTCCCAGACAGCTGAACACCACTCGCCCAATGTCAAACTCCTTGGCAGTGCCCTTTTTACTGCCCTGCAGTGGCTCAGCCCCTCAAAGAGAGCATCTTCAAGAGCACGAGTTAGCAAATAAGAATAATCTCTTCCTGCACTCCAGGGCCCCAGATGCTATACTCGACACAAAGCCAGAGCTCCCTGAAAATGGTTGGGGGGTAGGGGTGAGAGGAGGGGCAGAACTTGGAATTCCAGGTCAACAAGATAGGAAATGTGGGTCTGGGGTCCCATCTCCTAATGCGGCAGAAGGGGTCTACTGGCAGTAAGCCTGAAAACGTATTTATACCATCCCAGTTATCATCATCCTTGATCCCTACAACTCCAGGCAGTTGAGTCCAGCCTCAGGTACCAAGGCAAAGGATTCTGATGAGTGATAACCTCAGGACCGCCAGCAGGGTTGTTGTAGAAAAGAGATGAAGTAACGTGAAACCCCAAAGCCCTTCTGAAAGGAGAGGGGACAAAGGTACGCATAGGGTGGGTTTGGAAAAACCCCTGAAATGTGTTACAACGGGTGGATGGGAGAGTATGAGGGAGTCACAGCCAGGTTAATCCACATCGGCTACCCCACAGATAAACACGCTGTCTCTTCCCTCTCCACCTCCCCTCTGTCAGCGTTCCCTTGAGCCACAGAATAAAACTAAGGTAATGCCCTTTCTTTACCTTCCTTCTCCCTTATAAAAGGTGGGAGCTCCAGAAAGGCTGATGAACAATATCACAGATGGGGACCCCATGCCCTCTGCTACCCAGGGGACAGCAGCACCCTCGGTGACAGAGATGTAGCCCTTTTCCCACTGGCATCCCCTTCCTTCTCCAAGAAGCCAAAATTCTCCCAAAACATATTAAGATGTATATAAGTCTGATTGTCTCCTGGGAATAATGAGTCCTATTGATCCATTCAAAAACCACAGATTAAGTACCTTCTCTGTAAATGACTGAGCCAAGTATGAGGATAAAAACACAGACACCATTCCTGTGTTCATGGAACTTATGATCTACCGAGGGAGACAGGTGATTAAAGAAGCAATCTGACAGTGTGGTGAAAGCCCGGCTGAAGGGGAGCAATGCTGCCATGAGAATCAAACAGGTGCATCAAAGCCAGTGAGCGAATGGAGGTGGGAGGAGGTCTGAGAAGGCTCAGCAGAGGCATTCAAACACTGGGGTGAAAATCACAATTACCAGGGGCACTAATGAAAAAAAAAAAAAAGACGCATAGGCTGTGGAAGTACAACAGGGCTCAGGAATCTGAATTTTTTTTTAACAGGGTAACATACAAAAGTTTGAGAACCACTGCCCTAAAGAGGAACCAGCAAACAATGGCCCCATGAGCTACGCACGGCTGGCCACCTGGTTTTATGAATAGAGCCAGGCCCCTTCATTTGCTGCTTTCCTGCTACTGTGTCAGAGTTAAGTAGCCGCAGCAGAGACCACATGGCCCACAAAGCCTAAAATATTTAACATCTGGCCTTTTTCAGAACAAGTTGGCTGGCACCTGGTCAAAACAATGATTTGAAGAAATTCCTACAGCTGTAAAGAACGTCAAGGGACAAGCTGATTTAGCCTCTGCCTTCAGAGACTATTCCTTCACTCCTGAAAGTTGCTGTCCACCCCTCCCACCCCCACAGCTGCCACACCTTAGCCCTTGTCCCACTGCAGTGTCATCACTGCTTTACACGCTCTCCCCTCCATGGCCTGTGAGTGTCACGCGGCTCTTATTTACCGTTATATCCCCAGCACCTCGCCCACTGCCCAGTATATAATAAGCACTCAGAAATGCTGTCTAATGATTGATATCTTAATCTGTTGTTTAAGGGGAAGAAGGGAGGTAAAGGGAATAAGATGGAAGCAAGCTGACCACGCTGGATGGTGACAAACCTGTGGTGGGTCTCTGTATGACAGAATGAGCTCTCCTGCTTCCAGAGGGCCTCGAAAGCAAAGGCTAACTTTTCAGTGTTAAGGGCAGCCCTGAGCTGATGCCTCAAACCCTTCACTACACCTCATGGTGAATCTGGTAAGGTCAACACCTCCAACCATCAGGCCTTCCTCCCAAGAAGCAAGCAGGTTGCTCTTGGAAACCGTTTAACTCTTCGTGGAGCAGATGCCTCGTGTGGAAAAGTGCTAGAATTTAAATTCCTTACTTCCTAACATTATCACCTCAAAAAATGTCATGCTGTATTCTGTTTCTTGACAAGATACAGACCTACCTTCTTCCTCTCCTTACCCACCTTCTTATTTTTGTCTCCTCAACTAGCAAGTCACTTCTTGCTAGTATTTATATTTTATACAGGCCCTAACTTATCACTTGGAAGGCTTAATCTGGCTGTTCTGTTTAAGAGGAGTGATGGGTGGAAGTTACTGCCTAACACAGTTCTCCCTCTCCCTGGGGGCAGGGTCAGGACCCTCAGGGTTCACTCACCTGGCTCTTCTACCACATACAGGATGGACTTCCCACTGGAGTCTTCATAGTACTGGAATCTGACGACACAGTCATCCTCATTCTTGTAGGTGCAATTCACAGCATCCTTTCCACTGTCCTCTGGGGGAGGAGGCAGGATGGAAGAATGAAAAATGGGCCAATTCCTGGAAGATGGGGCCACCCTCTAACCCCAGTCACTGGACTTCTGAGAAAGTACGTGACAGGAAACCCTATGCTTGATGTTAGGCAATATGCCTAGATTTGAGATGGCTGTGTCATTTGAGCCAGGCAAGTGCCTGGCAATCGCCTCCAGATGACCCTCACTACTGTCCTTTGTCTCCCGCAGGTCCTCTTTGGTTCTTATTCCTTCCTCTGGAAGGGACATGACATAACAGTATCACATAATCTGATTCAAAGTCTGGCTCTATCACCTCCCAGCTGTGTGATTTTGGTAAGTCATTTGACCTCATCAAATCTCCCTTTCTTCTTCTACAGAAGAAAAACCCTCACTCACAGGGATGGTCAAGAATTAAACAGCATTAAGTAAACAGTACCTGACACACAGTGGCTGTTTCCTCCCCCCTCTTTCCCTTCTCTGCTTGCTCAGTGATTCTCAGTAGTTTGTTTACTCAGCCCTTATATTTCTTCCATTTCCGCTTCTGATCCAGTGTTCCTCTCAAGAGCTCTCTCTTCTTCTTTGACTCCCATCATGTTTTATTGGCTTCATCCCTTCTAATTCTAAAACCTGTTATTCTGAGAGTGGAACTATGGGTTACCTTCCACCAGCCGCACTATGCCCTACACCAGCTTTCCCAGATGAGGTAAAACCGACACACAATGAGGTTAAGCAAATGTCCCAACACAGCAGATAAGTGATGCAGCAGGAGTAGAACATGAGTCTCAAAGCACATCCTACAGACTTGAACTCAATAAACCTTTGGTAAACCAGTGGTATCATAGTACAGTGGAAAGAAAGAGTAAGGATTTCAGGATATAGATCTAATCTTAACCCACCACTAAGTTGCTTGGGCAAGTTACTTAACTTCCCTGAGACTCAACTTCCTCAACCTCAAAATGAAGATAACAACAGTTATAAGTTCTACTTCACTAGGTTGTTGGGAGAAGAATAAGGTCATGAAAAGATACTTTTATAACTTGTGTAAGTTATAAAATTCCATACAAATAAGCATTTATGATTGTCATGGCAGAGGGTGGGGGTACTACTTATTAACTAACTTATAATACCCATCTGGTCTAGATGATAAAGATGTCTCCCATCTCAGCAGCCTCTTCCACCTAAGCTAATCATAGCAAGCCTGCTCTTCTCCAGAGGAAAAACTGCCTCTTCAAACTCAATCCCCAAATCACTACCCTCACCCCAGCCCCGCTTCTGATATTAGCCAAAGGGCCCAGAGGTCTGACTCTTTCCCATAACACCTCCACCCAGAAGCTGCCTGATTGGCTGTATCTTACTGTGGCTCTCACTGAAAATGTGTTTCCTGCCTTTATGAGCGATGGCTATCTCCAAAGAGATTGCCATCTCCCTGGCACCACCCAATGCCTAGCTGGCCCAGATTACCACATCAGATGTGCTGACAGCATAGCAAAGATCATTTCCTTTTAAGTCAAGATGAAATACAAACCAGAATAATTGCAGGCAAGAGTTTTGCTCTCCACTGTATTTCTATCTGTCTTACTCCAGGAGGGGTTTCCAGAGAGCCAAAGGGGGCTTCAGGCTAATGATTCTGGCTCTCCACAAGGGTGAAGGTTTCCCTCTCAACCAGCAAAGCTGTATGCCTGGGCATTGCTTAACAGTCTTAGTTAAGCAAACTCAGTAAATGTTCACTAGCCAACTAAGCTAAGATTATCATGGGCAACTACTTCCCCACCCTGTGCCTCAGTTTCTTCATCTGTAAAATAAGGTGCATTGTCCTCCTTTCCTTGGGGTGGTAAAGTTGGTGTTGCCTGATTTATACATAATTTATAAGTTATTTGCAGGATCTTGCTGAGCCTGTGAACTCTGGGGAGCAGAAGGGGGAGGAATTGCTAAACAAATTAGTGGAGATCCAGGAAGACTCTCAGGGAAGCCAGCTTTTATTAAGTGCCTACTGTACATCTGGCCTGCACAACATGCCTTGAGGTAGGAATTACTCTTCCATTTTACAGATGAGAGTTGGATAGTTTCTGGGATTAAAGCAGAAAAACTTAGAACCTGGGTGTGTGCAACTCTATGACACACCGAACTTACTAAGCTCCTTCACAGACTCAATGTCATCACGACAGTAACGGCTGCAGGTATTCTCCTCGTACAGGGCTCCCCGGTTAAACTTCTTACACTCCACGCACTCCCTACAGAAGAAAAGACACAGGGATGAAGGCAAGGAAGGAACAAATCTAAGTGTGTTTCAGTCTGGCTCTGCCTGCCGTACACCCAGAAAGCAGCTGAAAACATACCAACAAAAACATCTGTGAGATGATCCTCGGGGGCTCAGATAGTCAAGTCTGGCATTCAGGGGTGGGACGGCCTTACTGACTCATAGGTAGGGCCCCAGGTACCTTCATTAAACTTCTTCATGTCCCGTCTAAGACTCTGCCAGGAGGGTGAACCCTCTGCCACTTCTGGGAGCATTCAAGTCAGAACCAGTCATGTAATTTGGAGACCCAGTGCAAAATGAAAATGTCAGGTCCCTCGTTCAAAAATTAGTAGGAATTTCAAGAGAATGAATGACAGCAGAGCATTAAACCAAGTGTGGGGCCCTTCCGAGCACAGGACCCTGTACAAACGTGCAGGCTGCACGCCCGGAACGCCATAAGAGAAACGACAGGGCCACAGACTTGGGCTGACAGGGGCTTCCTCTGACTCTCAGATGAGTGAAGTTTGTAGTGGTGAACTTCTCCTGTTTTACACAGTCCTTCATAACGACAGCCCCACATCTCCCAGAGTCTGACCATCAGCCCTGGAACATTCCCGAGGAGTTACCTGGTTGAGCCTTCCTCTCAACTCAGAGATTCAGGATCCAGCCTAAGAGATAAGTTTCTCCAACTGCGGTCCATCTGGTACTGCTCTGTGCCCTTCACGCTTGGCTCTCCCTCCAACTTTCCCCCAAGTTTGCAGTGGAAAGAGGAAAGCTAATCATTTGCTGGAACAGATTTCTCTCTCTAAAGCTTTGGTAAGAGACAGAACCTGCATAGTCTGGTGGACCCTCTCCCTTGACCCAGACACCCAACTCTCTCCAACTCACTGCCCTGCCCACTCACTTCTTAAAGGTGCAGGCATCAGGGCAGGTGGGACACTTCTCACAGGTGTCCCCGTAGGAGCCAGGCTGGATGCAGACGCAGTTGCCACATTCGCACTTGCCCCGCCCGCTGCACAGCAGCCCGTTGCTGGACATGCAGGTGTCGGTGCGCGTGGTACAGTTGCAGTAGTAGCCGGTCCAGTCGGAGTCACACAGGCAGTCCCCACAGTTGCACTGGCCGTGGCCTGAAAACACACAGCCCAAAGGGGGAGACCAGCAGGTGAAGCCCCCACCCCAGGATGGCAGCTCGACCTGCTTTCTGGCTTTACCTCTCCTCACCCTCCTCACATTTCTAACTTTAGCCCCGACACTGAGCTGTGCACCGTCTTCTACACTGTCCTCATACCCTCATGCTTCTCAGCATTACTGTTCCCTCTGTCTAAATGCCCTTTCCTCCTGTAACCACTACCAAACTCCTATTCACCCTTTAAAGCTCAACTCAAATGATCCTTCCCCTCTGTCACTTTTTCTGACCTCCCCAGGCCAAATCAACTGCCCATGTGTTCTCCTAGCACTTATATATACCTCTATTTCAACCCTATGTTCAACCCATTTGCTTGCTTAACTGTTTCTCTTTCTAGACTGTGATCTCCCTGATGGGGGAGCACATACCATATTAATTTTTCCATCAACACTGATTAGCATAACATCTGACACAGAGCAGGCATGCAATTAATGTTTGTTTATTTGCCCATTCATTCAGCAAATATTTACTGAGCTCATACCACATGCTGGGCACTGGAGACTCAGCAGTGAACAAGACAGGCAACATTCCTACCATGGAGGGATAGTCAAATAGTTTACTCCCAGTTCCGAAAATACACACAATATTCACCAACACGTGCCCTGGTTGCACTGTCATAGTATTGCAAAGAGCCATCAGCCCTAAGAGCAAAGATCTATGCACTTTCCTACATAGTATAGGAATGGGAGAGAGAGACTGGGGTAGAGGGTTAGACTGCTTAAATGCAGACATTAACCCTCAACACTATATTCTCCTAATATTCATTTAACAAGGCTTTAAAACTTGGCTCCTAAACTCTGCAGAAAGGTGACTCATTCTCCAGGACTCTGAATCAGGAAGAAGTGGATGAATAATAAAAATCTGATTGTTAATCAGAGGAAAGGCGGGAGCAAGGGGGAAGTAACCTGAATTGATCTGAAAACCATGCCACATGGTGCCAAGGTGGTGGAGGAAAGGGTGTTCCATGGCCAGGCTCATAGCAACTAGCTGGCACCCACTGCTCCCCAGTGACCCCAGGGGGTCTGGCTCATGTCTCTTGGCCACTGTGGGTCCCTCCAGATGGGCATCACCCACAACAGAACGGCTGATAACCAGCACCATTCTCTAGGACCCACACTGGCATTCAAGACTCGGACACACCTTCACTGTATTGGCAAGAAATGGCTGTTCCCCAAGAAGGATGGGAGACCTAGCCTCATCTGTCCCAGCTGCCAAGTGTCTCTGGAGAGTTAGAGATACAGGGCTGGCAGAGGGTGGAGAAAGAAGAAAAACTGCATTGTGAGGTTGGGTTCCCTAGAAGTATAGCTTGTGGTGAGGATTCTCGTTCAAGTGACTTACTGAGGAAGTGGAAGGGAAGGAGGGAAGCAGGACAGGGCAGGAGGCAAAAGCTGGCAGGAACGTGGTCTCAGCCTGAGACTCCCTCCAGCCTGATCCCACGGTGAGCCCCAGGGGCATGAATGACACCACAGGAATCTTGAGGCAAAGGACTTGTGAAGGCACTGTCCATCAGTCATTGGCCAAGCTCTGAGGGCGAGACAGCTCCTGTCAGCTGAAAATAATTCTCCAGAGATGGGGCATCTGTGAGCTGGGGGCAGCAGCCCTAACAGCAGATGCAGGACGGGTGGCCCAGCCGGCAGAGCAGGACCACCACAGTGTCCACTACACCCAGCTTTTGGCCAGGGCCCCCAGACAGGGAAAAGATGACACTACAGAGGCCTGGCAGCACTCGGAGGCCTCAGTCTCCTCAGAAACCCTTCCTTGTCCCATAGTGTTTCCTTTGTGAGGCAAAACAAAGTGATCTTTGAGAAGCTAGGGGGCGAGGCTGGGAGTGGAAGTGGCCAGCCGGAGCCAGGAGGCTGACTCCAAAGCCCTGACAGGGTGAGCCCTTAAAAGGAAGCCACAATGTGATAATGTCACAGGACTGGCACCCCTCCAGCAAAAGGGTGGCTGAGCCGGGATTCACAGGAAAGTCAGAGGTGGAGGGTGGGAAATGAAGAAAAAGTGTAAGAAAGAAAAGGGAGGTCGAGAAGAAGGAAGCAGCAAGGGAGGGGTGGGGAGGGGAGGGGAAGGAGTTTCAGGTCAGAGGGAAGGCAGTGACTCTCCCCATGTAGCTTCACCTTCTGGGCTGATGTATTGCTCTGCTGCTCCCCTTAAGGGGCCAGCCCTTCCTTTGACATCCCACCTCTTCCATGAAGCCACCCAGCCGTCCCCTGTCCACGGTGGGTCTCTCTCCGGTGGACTCCTGTAACATTCCCTGAGGACACCACCCTTCTGGGATCTAGCACGTTCTGCCTTGCACTGTGAATTCTCCTTAGGGAAGTTCATGGAGGGCATAACTGTCTTATTCCTGCCTCTCTATCCCAGCACAACGCTACAGCACACAGCACAGGACCAGGCACAGATGGGTGCCTGATCAATCTATGTTCGTGGATGTGGTGAGTGGAAGAGTCCCTTGAGGACAAGAATGGACTCCCTGATGTCTGAGGGGTGCTGCTACTGTGAAATCACAAAAACCATGCCGCCAGTGGGGAGGAGAGGACAGGAAAGGCCAGGTGCTGAAGCGATGGCCAAGTCATAGCGCTCCTGCCTCATGAACCCCTGTTTGAGGCAAAGAACAGACCAGGCCAGCAGCTCTGGGGATGGACCATGTCAAGCTGGGCTATAAGCTCTGGCCAGGTCAGGAATCACACATGACCCCTGTTCATCATCTGGGCTATAAGCTCTGGCCAGGTCAGGAATCACACATGACCCCTGTTCACCCATATGGACCAAGTGCCTGTGTCCCTGAGTATCTGTCACTGGAGAATGTGATGACAGCACCACAAGGTCCACACCTGAAGCTAGTGGGCGCCCCGCACCCTGAGAGGCTGCAGCGCTGCCTGGGGTTCTCCCGTGTCACATGCTGGAGCACGCTGAGGACGAGCTGTTCTTTCACTGGTGGGAGGCAGGAACCAGGGCTGCTGACCCAGGCAGCTTTGTTTTGTGGCTTCAGTGGGGCCAGAGGCCAAAGGAAACACACTCTGGCCAGGATCCCTCCCACACCACCTCACACCAGAGCAGGAACAATCAGGCTGTGGAGGAGCAGTGGGCCTCCCTCCCTCCCTGGTGTCCTCTCTACCCCTGCCATCGGCCACATGCATGCCTCTCCTAGGGTAACCCTCTTCTCAATCCCAACCTGCTCCTCCTGGGTCTCTTGCATCAAACTTAATTATTCCCTTTAGTGCTCTGAATATGATGCAAATACTATTTAATATTAAAATGAACTGAAATTCCTGCCTCACTCACTAATTCAAACTGCTGTTTGTGTGTGTGTGTGTGTGTGTGTGTGTGTGTGTGTGTGTGTGTCTGTTCATATCTGATCTCCTACCACCTAATACTCTCTCTAGTACTTCTTTCGTTTTCCTCCCTCTTCCTTCCTTCCTTCTCGTACTTACGGTACC